CCTATTTTTACGTCTTAGGTATGACGCGGCGCCGCGAACGAGAATCGAACCCGGGCTTCCCGATCACGAAGCGAACGCTCAATTTGTCTAGGAGGGTAAACACCTAAAACAGAGCCTCCAAAAGGCGACCACACATTTAATCAACCTCCACGGAATATCTATTTTTCATAAATATCTTACGCCATTGGAAAATAGTAACTGAATGCATTTTCCCCAGCCTAAGGCAAACATATACGCGTTTAAAATAGAGTAATCCCGGGATTTTCACAAAAGGTATGATTTGACCGAAATTTGACGTTGTCTAACAACTTAAAGATTAGCTATAAATCATCATCTAATAAACTAAATATCCAGTGAAATCAGAAAAAGTCTCGCACAAAGGTTTATAAAAGTTCAAGCAATCGTAATAATGACATAATTTCCGTTTTATATAACACATAGAGCGGTTTTATTCTCATTTCACGTATTAAGAATTAAAACAACCGTTTCTATGGCAACTGCCATAGAGTTACTTTCATAAATATTTAAAAATGTTTTTTATTTACAATATGCAAGAAATGTCTATATACTCATTTGTAATTTTCAACTATTTCACTTATAAATTAATAAAATATGAATAAATTCCATGAACTTTTCGATCAACCCTCGTGTTTGGCTTGTTTTATTTTGTTTTAGGTACCAAGTTATACATCTCATATGCTAATGCTACCAAAAGATTAAGGAGTTAATGCTTTTAACAGACAATTTCACAATCCCAATTATTCGCTTAACTGATCGAATTGTTTAACAGCGGTCTTCACGTAGACCTTAGACGTCGATGTCCCGCTCTTGTCTTTTCAGTTCTCTATTTAATTAAGTGATATCTTCTATCGGATAACCAGTCAAGTCAAACCCCTTCAACTGGAGATTAACCTGTCTCCCACTTTGAGGAGGAATCATATCCCGCTCAACATAGTGTTGCTTGATAACTTGGTGCTCCACATTACTGCTTAACGTCACCATTTTTGACAATGCCTAATTCAAAGCGCTTTGGAATACATCGACATTTATTTATACAGGGAAATGACAACAAGATGTTTGCTTTAACCTTCATTTTGGCGAACATTGGCCGTGGCATAGTATTTTGTGGGATGCCAATTAATACACACAACTTTAGGGCAAACCCACACAAATTCAACAAAATTCATCAACACAAAAAAGTCATATGTTCAAAAATGTCCACCCCGGTTGATTACTTATTTAAGGTTTATTTATTTAAGTGTAAGTAGTTTTATGCACAATTCAAGCACAAAACAAACTATATCAACATATAAGGAAATATTTTACATATACAACACTTCAATTCCCCTTCACAGTCGAATGCTGACAACTTCACAACAATACAACGTTTATGTATGCCTCAGCTGCTTTGGTGTGCACAAACGCCACTCCTGTACACTGTACAGGTTATGCCACGACATTTCATTAAGACGACATCTAGTGCAACAGATTCTGCAAAATACAAAGGAAAAGCCAGCGACAAGAACCAAATATGCATACGTTTAAACTCAAAATTATGGGAATGGGTGGGTAGGATATTTAAGACCGATGCAAAATTTATTTTTACAAATATTCTGAAAAAAAAAATTGACAAAGAAATATTCAGCCTACTCTACAAATATCACAGATGAAAGCGAATGTTCCGTTACGAAGCTTAAAAACAATAAATATGTACTTTGCGGCACTTGTTTTTATGCAAATTAGCATCTTTTTGTGATCATTATAAAATTTTCACCTAGTCAAGAGGCTTAGAGAGGATAGGAGCGAGGTGATCATAAACCCTTTGATAATGAATTCAAATACTAATGATTTAATTTTCTTTTTATTCTCGCCTCTCATTGGTTGATTTCCAAAAAGGAACGCAAATTATTTTGTATAATCTGGTTTGGTATGGGGACACACCCCCTTGACGACCAGCTTAATCATCTTATCCATGCAATCCCCTCATTTCCAGTCCTCGGAATCCATGGAAAATTCCAGATTTAATAAATGTACCTTTAACTTCAAACAGTTACTCGATCTTACCTCATGTAAACAGACATCATGGCTGCTAGATCTATGTATCAGTTATTACCTCCCCTCGCTTCTTATCACTTCCGTTACTAAGGTTCTATTATTGCGCGGTAAATTTGAACGCATAAAAAGCAGCACAATTTTACATCCAGAGTTGTTTTATTTATTTTAAAATTAAATTATAAGGAATGACTTTAATTCTTGGCCAAATTATCGAGTATAATCTGCTTTGGGTCAGTTTACGCTTTTTTATAATCCGCTTCGCGGCCTGGCAATACTTTTTACAGAAAAAAGAATTAAGAAAATATGAATGTACAAAATTACTATTTTCTCAGGAATAAGAAACCATATTGTTACAGCCTCGGTTTGAAATGCTTAATATTTTATATAACATTTATTGAGAAATTTTTTGTTTGGGCATTATGATTTGTTATTGACTTACAATATGTATTCACGAAATGTTTCAATGGGTATCAAAATTGCATTAATTTCTTAAGTTCTTTAATATTTTTAACACATCGTTGTTTTTATGCCATAATGTTTCGTGCTGTTCAAAATTCAATCTTTTCCAGTAAGCTAGAACATGTTAAACAGCGACTGATACATGTACATCTTAATGAACATGCTTTTGTGAACAAATTAAATGCGAATTTTGAAAATGAATACATCAAGTACTTCTTAACAAAATTACGAAAAAATACAATGTACATATTTATTATGAATTTCTGGATTTGGGCAGTTTTGGTATTCGTGGTTAATTGATGATTTACCTTATTTGCAGTACTAAGTTGCATATAGAAAACCTTACTAAAAAGTCTTCATATATGTGTTCACACCTTTAATTAGCACCTTTAATATCTTTATTGCCAAAATAAGGTTCAGCAAGGCATGTTTTTTGAGCAGCGCGTCGTATTATTATTAATACTTGCTCTGATTTTTGATGGAACCATATCATATAACATATATACTGTTCAGTCATAATTCCAATCTTTCACTCTTCTGTATGCTCCCGAACTGCAGCAAGTATGTTACAAGTTTGCAGAAACAATCTGTAAGCAGGAAATTGGCAGATGATGACCGCTAGCTGCAAGCTGCGGCTAATTATTGTTATCTCCAACATGTTTGCAGAAATACTGTATAGGGGATTAATTTCACGGGTTGTAATTTTCACGGTTTTCTCTCATCGGACACGATCGCGGTTTCTTGAATTCGCGGAATTCTTATGTTATAGAAGTTACCTTGCTTGTCTATATCCGTTTAATCCAAACCATAGCTATATGTAAACGACATTCATCATTGTTATGTCTTTATTTCATGAACAACATAGTAGGTTAATATAAAATAGTTCGACTTAATAAATAATTGACGATTAATTAAAACAGGTGCAGTTATCAAAGTCCTTGACTATAAACGTCAAATGACTTTTCTGTATGCTCTTACAATGAGTGCAAGATGATCGCAACAATGCTTCAAAATGTACACCCGAAGATCTTCAAAACAACGCGGCGAAAAAATACTGGACGTTAATAAATGTGTTAATGTAGGTCGAAAAAATAATATCCTTCCGAATCTTTAGTAAGTTCGATAGTTATTTCAATGATTTTTTAAAATAAAAATGTCGATAAAAACTATAATATGCATGATAATGCAGATAACATAATATTATACCCACCGTGCGTGGTAACATTTGTTACGCACAGGGTAATCAAAACTCATGGCCCACGTGTTTTGATTGATAAAAGACATGTAGCGCTGGCTATTAAAAAACCTTTTAACAAATACAGGTTATTATCTGTTGACTTGAATTAATGTAAAGCGTGCTAATTAAAATAATTGAATGACAAGTACAACTCGTAATTACTGAAATGACCATGTACTGTGGTACATGTATTTAAACCAGTCGTAGTCTGTTCTCAAATTTCAAATAAGACATGGAGATAATTGAAAATTTATTCACTGTTTCTTGAATTCACGGATTTATTAACACCGTGAATATAGCGAAAATTAACACCGCGAATTATTTTCCCCGTATACAATATTGGAAGAAATATGCTTTGTCACTCTGTTGAATATTTTTGAAGAAAGTTTGCAAGAACAGTACACAGCCAATTCAGTTAATAATACGCAGGTTTTAAAATTCGCTTAACCCAAATGTTTGAAAATAAAAATAAAATGTGCCACAGAGAAGAAAAAACGCTAAAAGAAACCAACCAGGAAAAGATTTTCATTTACGTGATGACTTCAATTTTTCCATCGTCACCTTCCTTTTTTCCAAGTATTTCATGCATTTAAATTTAGTTGATTCGATACGCAAGAATATGCTCTGTGTACAAACAATTTCTTAAACTAGACAAGCTATTGCCGTTGGTCCTTCGGTATCGAAGATGACCCTCATCTCTTTTGTCATTACTAAGTTTTAGCGTGCGTGCGAAAATGGCTGACGATTTCAACGGCTAGCTATTAACAAATGAGTGGAAGAAACAAGGATATAAAGTCAAAATCTCGCAAACTCTATGGTCGATACAATGAAATGTCAGAAGATACATGTATCATTATGTAGACTCTTGACGGATGCTTTTCATATAAAAAGTAAATTCATTATATTAAATTGTCCATGGATTTTTTTCTCGTTTGCACGAGTGTGACGAGGAGCACACGGTGCATTTGACCGGTACACAGGGGATGCTTACTCCTCCATGGCACCTGGCCCGAGCTCCGTTGTTTTTAGAGCTCCTAGTTTGCTCGGATCCCAATTTGCTTACTGTTTGTTATCTCTAATTCATATTTCATGTCAATAAAAAGAACACCAGTTATTGAGACTTGAAGGAGTGCATATTAAAATATTTATTACATAAAAACAATCTTGACTTAACCTTTAATACAGTAATATAGTAGAAAAAAATATTTCTTCTAACCATCTGTTAAGTAAGCATTTATAAGAGATAATGATGCCATTGCTAATCATTTATTAAAACAAATGTTTTTAGATATTTAAAAATATATTAAAAACGAGATTACATTTGTAATATCAATGTTATATTACAAAGAAACAAGATGCTCGGTAATACCTTCTATGATATTCAAGTGAAAAGATTCATCCAACACATTGTGCATTCATGCACTATCCCTTCATGAATAAACATTCCATTCCGACTAGTAATTCTGGTATACATTCTGTCTGACAACTATCGTTGATTCTGGTTGAGAGGTTTCTGTTTTATTGACACAGATGTCTATATCAGTCCTAGTGTACCGCTCTGGAAAGACAAATAGGAAGGCTAATCCTACAGCAACACTGCCCACCAAAGTCCAGTTCATCCAATCCGTGCCTACAGAGATTGTTAAGTGTCACAAAAAGACTAGCAGTAAACAAAATGTAATAAAGAGCTTAAAGCTTACTTTTGAAATACAGTATCGTTTTTGGATCATTAGTACATTGAAATAAAAATAAAAAGTAAGCTTCAATTTTAACTAATTTTGACACCCACCTATATTTGGTATTTGTAGCATAAAGAAAAAGAGAATTCCAAACAAGTTGTTGAGCCATGTTAGAAATCCCCCAGTTACCCCCTCTGACACGGGAAATGTGGACTCCGCCCCCAATTCGTAGAAAAGGGGAAGGACACTGCTAAGAAACATCCCTCCTAAGATACCAGAAATGTACACTTGTGCTAGAATATAAATACATCAAAATATTATGCACTTTTTGAAATCTGAAACAAGTGATAATAAAATAAAACAATCCAGGAAATTTTCATGGGTTGATTTTTCACATCCTGATGAACAAGACATATATTGGGGAAAATATTGTAAAACCCATTTAACGATTCCTTTAATGATTTACCTGTGGAGAATGGTATAACCTTGACACACATAAGGGTAAACCACACAAAAGATCCTCCGGCCACACCAAACATTACCAAGAGCAAGAGCTTCATATGCCGCATAAACACATCTGAAAATCTTTAAATTAAATATTAAACATAAGTATATGATTTAATCTTAGTTGTAACACGTCATTTGATTGGATTAAAGATCAATATAGATTAATCTGTATAGTATAACATAAGTTGCCTACGTCACAATGTATACGGTTTATAAAGCGTAAACTGCCCTAAGTTATGTTATATCGTATAACATGGGTTAAAATAAGCCTAATTCCTTAAATGTACTTAAATTTCATTTTAATTTGTCAACAATTTTTAAATTAGCTTTCTTCATGTGATCGTAAAATTTATATGAAAAAGACCATAGCAATATCATCTGTTACCTTCCAATGGCTAGACCTGCGACACAACCTGCCATTGTAGAGTAAAACCCAATCCATCCAGCCTCAGTCTAAAACATTAAGCCAGAATACAAATGTATAAAAAGAAATGAAATTGTACATAAGGAGATTGACAAAGATGTTTATTATTCAAATACATGTAAGTTTAAACACCGTTTTGGAAATGTTAATTAATTCTGAAGTTGACGTTACATCAAAAAGATGTTGATTTTCTTATTGACAATATCGCTTTTGGAGACCAGGTCTTTCAACTATCTATTTGAAATTCTATGGGTGGCAATTGCGTCCCGTTATTAGCAGACCTATTTTTGTGTTCATAAGAAGCAGAATTTGGGCAAAATTTTATGAGTGAAAAGAATAATTTCATGGCATAGTAATTGGGTGTCTTTCTTGTCTCGTTCCTACTTATTCAGCTTCCGCTGAATCAAAGAAGAATGAAAACGAATACTCTTAATTGTAAAACAACATCGATATATATATATATATATATATATATATATATATATATATATATATATATATATATATATATATATATATATATATATATATATATATATATATATATATATATATATATATATATATATATATATATATATATATATATATATATATATATATATATATATATATATATATATATATATATATATATATATATATATCTGATAATTAATGTTTTACTTCTTATGAATACAGAATTTTTGGTCTGCTGATAGACCGAAAACATCAGTCAAACGTTAACGTTACTAATGCATGTATTGTTTAAAAGCTTGAGGAAACTAGAGGAATTGAAAAAAAAAATATGCACATGGCATGCAACTGAGAAACATGGAGATACACATAGAAAACACAAAGGAATGGAAGCTGAATGAATAGGAATGAGACAAGAGAGACACCCAAAACTATGCCACTTCCCGGTTACTACTTTTACCTGTCCAATGCCCTGAGGATTCAGTATAACATCAATTACGGTTCCCCAAGCCCCGTACACTCCTGTTGGCAGTTAGCAATTTTGTCTAGTATATATATATATATATATATATATATATATATATATATATATATATATATATATATATATATATATATATATATATATATATATATATATAAATTTTAAAGCAAAAGCTAACCCTATTAACCATATTGATTTGTTCCTGTTCAAAGAGAACCATAGAGGAAATGTGATAAATTTCTTTAGAAATTTATCTTGGCCTGGCCTTATTTATTAATCGCATTCATGAATGTTAGCGCTAACCCTTGCGCCACGAAGGCGACTAAAATCATACTAACGTGGGTACTTATTCAAAACACAGTTTGTGACTTTGTAATAGTTTTTTGTTTAAACCATTTCAACTTTGATCAAATAATGTCTGCGAAAATTTATGGCACGCCAAATTCACAAAAATGAGTTAAGTATATAGTTTCACAGTTGATAAACTAGGTTAATCGACTGTAAACTATAGTTTACAAACCGTGAACTATAGTTAACAATTCGTTAACTATATTAATAGTTTTCATCTCTAAAACTATATTTAAAGGTTCCTAACTATAATTTACGAATGCTAATCTAAGTTATCTGTCTGTAATTAAACGTTAACGATAGACTTTGTTGAAAATTATCGATTCACATCTGTAAACTATAATTTACAATCGTGAACTATAGTTAAGAGTTGTTAATCATAGTTTCACAAATCGTGAAACTATATTTATCAGATCGTTAACTATAATTATGAGTTGTAAACCATATTTTACAAATCATGAAACTGTATTTATAAGATAATCTATGTTTTGTAATCGCAAATGATTGTTTTCAGTGTTAAGTATAGTTTACGGTTCCGAAACATAGATTATAGCGCGTTAGCTATGGTTTACAGATGTAAAATATAGATTAACGTTTTAAACTATAGTTTACAGTCCGTAAACTATAGTTTACAACCGATAACCCTAGTTTATCGACTGTGAAACTATGTGTAGTTCATTTTTGTGAATTTGGCCTGCCATAAACCTTTGCTGGAAAATCGTATACTACAGTTCCTGGAAATTTTTGCTATTGTGTGTGATAGCGTGTATCATTCTATTAAGAATGACATTCGTGATTATTTATAACATGTCAGATACTCGTCTGTTTCTTTTTCAAAACTTGATAAGTACATTCATACTTACATTATTTACAATTTAAATTCATATTGTTTACTAAGTCCTACCGCGCGATATTCAGTAGTGCCCTCCTATAGACTACACGCTCTGTAGAGGCTGACACACTCGGTGGTGATGGAGGTTTAGAGGGGATAAATAAGCTACTTAAAAACAACAGTCCGGAGGCAGCAAATTCTGTATAATTAAAGAGAAATACGAAATTTTTAAATCTTGAGGACAAACACTAAATTGGTTGCAACACTGTGATCTATATTCTATACGTTTGTATATTAAGCCACTGACCGTAATACATAAGATACATTATGTCCTGCTGGATATGTTTAAAGTTGACCAAAACTGTAAAAAAGAAATTCTCATTTATTCAATGCCTTCCGTGAAGTTACAATAATATATATAAATATATATTCATTACCTTCAGAGGAATTCGTATTATTTCTTATATTGTCATGCGTTGGTATAAATAGATCTTCTGCTAATCTGAAAAAAAAAAATTACCATTCCGTTTCTCTAAGAATGAAGAAAAAAAAAACATCTTATTTATCCAACTTTTGAAAAGACGAACGTTTTATTTATGTATATTATGCTTATACACTTATATATTCCATTTTGCAATGGTATATATTTTACCTGCTTGGTGTGAGAGTATTATTTTGGAAACGAGTTTCATTTTTGTACTTTGGTGATGATACCAACTGTGGACCTTCAAACAAACAAGAAGAGGCATTGTGGATGCATACACTTTACATAAAGAAAAAAATCAATGTTCTATCAATACATTTTTAGTTATCTCCATTTTTTGAAGCGATTATGTAATTCTTTGTAGCATTGCAGGTGTATAATAATCCTGATTCAAATTTTGATCATTTTAACCACTTTATGCCAAATATAATTCTTACATTACTATTTAGTTTGCATAATATTATATCAATATTAAATCTATATGAATGTTGTAGGAATGTTTTAAAATAGAAGAATTCCGGAAATTGCTGATAAATACCTATAACAAATGCTAAAGCAATTCCTACGTTATTGAACACTGAAACGACTGCTGTGGCGCTTGTTCTCTGATTAGGCGGAAACCACGTGTTTGCAACCTGCGCAGGCGCAGAGCAAGGCACTGTTCCAGAAATTCCATTTAAAATAGCACAAAAATTACTCAGCCTGAAAATTTTCAAATATTGCACAGAATCTTCACACACAGTTCAAGGACTTTATACAGTGTACATGTACCTAGTTATAACTTTAAAATTTAAATCAACTTAAGTTTGACAGGAAAAGAAACCACGAATTCAATGCAGAGTATTTCAGAAATGAACAAGGGGGAAAGATCGTTCTTTCACAAAATACCCACCATGTGGCATATTTAGGTTCATATGTTATACATCTAAGTCCAGTACCAATCAGCAATAAAACTGTGCAGGCCACAATGGAAATTCGTAAACCTGTAACATATATAATGCATATAATACTAGTTCACTCAGCACCATTTTAGTTTTACCTGAAATGGGTTTCTCATATCAATATTTCAACTTATTGATAACTAGTTAAATTTTATTGATTGTAAAAGAAAACAAAAATTGATCAATCTAAAAAAATAGTAATAAAAAAAGTGTACAGGACCAAAAAAGAAACATCACGAATGGAATCAGATGCCTATGAGGAATAAGCGTCCACTTTCAAAACCATCTTTGAGCCACATGTATTATACAGGTATATGGAGTGCCCAGTACTAGTCAAAATAATTATAAAAGCAATGACGTAGCAAATGGTATGAAACTTATTAGACAAACGACCGAACGATAGTTTAATTTGTGCATAAACTTACAATCAAATTCATCACTAGTACATCTACCGTAGCAAAAAGTTGACTTTAAAATGGGTTGCTGAAATCTTTGTACCATCAAATTATTTGTCATTAGCTTTAAACGGCTTAAAAATTTAACGTACTTGGAGATACATGACTGTATTACAATAAATAATGACTTGCTTTAACAAGCTTTTGCCTTTTACTATATGGCTGAATAACAATATCAATATTTCAAGTAGAGCAACATGAAAAATATGTGTGTTGGATAGTTGATGTTTGCCAAACACCCAACTCATAAAAACTAAATGTGTAATTTCTAAAACAAGGAAAATCATTGACAAACAATTTGATGATGCAAGAATATCAGCAGTCTCATTTAAAGTAATAGTTTGGTCAGTTCTGGTCGATACAATACAAATACAATTTCTCATTGAGTCAAGAGCTGACTGACGTTTTTCATACTAATTGTTAGTCCATTATTTATAAAATTTATACACTGCATTTACGACGGATTTTTTCTTTACTTTCCAATCATGACAAGAAGATCATTGCAGATGTGACCGATCGGCAGGGGATGCTCACTCCTCCAGGGTACATGATTCCAAATCTGATGTTTTGGAGGTCCGTGTAAGCTCTGCTCCTATTTTGTACTTTTTAATGGACTTCTGAATTTTAAATAATGTTCGTTATCTCCATACATTTCATCCAATTGCAAAGTACATTAAGAAGACACTAAAGAGTAAAGATTTTAAAAAATAAAATAAAATGATCGGAATTTGAACTAATTGTCAATTATTGTTTTGGCAAATATTCAAACATGAACATGTTGTAAACACGAAAGATTTGAAATTAGTGTGATCAGAAATGATGATACACTAGAAAGTATTTTAATGAATAAATTAATTCAATTAATATCTATTTACTATAGTAAAGTAAAGTATTTTTTCTTTATTTTGGTCGCCATTTTAGCAATAAAGTGGATATAATTATTTGATATTATAGCTTATGCTACTTTTATCGATAAAATGGATACAAGATTAAGCATATCTTACATAGCACGTATTTCATAGACTTACTGGTAAATTCAAAAGGCAATTAGTGAAATGGAAAGGCAAAAAGGTAGAAAAGAAGAGTAAACGGCAAGTAATTATAATTAATGATAACAATGTTCACGTATCAGAAGAAATTTAACTGTAATCGTCTATGAAAAGATACAACAGAAACATCCAAATCCTTAATTCTTTATTCAAAAAAGGAAAAAAAAACTATCCACCCATGATTACATAATTTATACCTTTAGTATCTATGAAATAGCAAGCTGGAAATACTGTGATGATGTATGCAATGTTTCCTAAGTTTGGTAACATTCCAATCTGACTATCCTCCCATCCAAACACTACCTCGGCGGACTGGGTAATAGGACCCCACGTGTTCCACACTGCAGCTTGCAGAAAGGACGCCACACTGAATACGAGAAGAACGTACCATCGCCTTTTGTAAATTATATATTTCTCCTTATTCTGCAGAAGCGGTTGTTCCTCCTCGCTCATGGTGTTAATTTCATCATTTTGCACTGTTTTATTTGATGCATTTTTGTTTTCATTAATAGACATGATGTCTGAAAAACCGTGCACTGAATGTACAAATTACTCCATAATAAGGATATGATTTATTAAACACCGTTTAACACGACATACCGGTACTTATTTTTACTTTCACTTAACTTACATCCTGTTTACTAACTTGCACGTGATTTAGGTTACATGGACAGTTTAAAGGATTATGAAAGCGCAGATCTACTAAATGGAAGTCTAGTGGTATAGAAGGTTTTTATTGAACCATAATGCACTAATGAAAAGTCTGTTAAATAATGATCCTGGGACCAGAAAAGGTTCTTTAAAGTACAAAAACAAAACCAGAAAACAAAAAAATGATAAAAAAGGATTTAAATTCGGCTCCGTTTCGGCTAAATTTTGCTCCAATGAGATGGTATATTTGCTTTTCCTAAGCATATCAGTTTCGATATTTCATTTTTTATCTTTACATTTTAGCGGGTACTGGTACTGATAAACAAATCCATATGAGAGAGGTTTCAATAAAATAATGATTCTTTGCTGTTTTAATCCACAGTTATTATTATTTATTCCATTTATTCGTCCCTGTCCTTTAAAAATACCCACCCTTTCAACGTAATCACATTTTTAGATGATCGACCCATTTCTGGAAACGTAATTTTTTCCCTCCCCAATAGGGACCCTCATTAGTAACCTAGCAAATATCTTTCTAAGCTTTAGATATCTTTTTTTCCCAACTAATAGTAGATGATGAACACATGCTAACGACAAGTTTGTTATCCGAATCAATTGCCTGACAAAATATTTTAAAATTGTGTCTTGCAGGTCTCTGTAAGATTTTGACGAGAGGATCTTTGAGAATTCGTAACTTGTTTTAAATAAAGCAACCCACCATCCGTCATACCTACAGGTATGGGACATTTGACGTTTACCATATAAAGTACAGACCTGACAGCGAATATCTAACGGTTTAATGCCAAATAAGGGCATGCCTTTAAATTAGGCCCTAATTTCAAATGCATTGTTGGCTTTTTTCAATTATTTTAAGAATAGTGTAATGAAGATCCATCAAGTAATATACGCTGTAGGTAAGCCAGGGAAGGTGTGAACATCTATAGATATTCTTCCGCTACGGTTTAGTATTCAATCTGAGGTGAAAATTACAAAAATTTCAAGCAAAGACTATCAAAATATCATTATTTTTGGAACTCTCCTCGTAAATCAATCCGAATTTGAAAACTTACTTATAATAATTAAGTATTTATGGCAAAAATAAGGGAATTACAAACAATATTGTTCAATCATGTCATCATGATATTCTAATGTTACTCCTTTAGACAAGGAGTTGACTGACTCTGTCCCAAAGTCATATAACATGGGTAGATTTCCACAAAAAAAAACATCGAAGACACTGCAGAAGTACATTTGTACTGAAATACATTATGGCAAGCTAATCCAATCGTTTATTCAACTAAAGAGATATTAAACACAAATTAAGTAAACTACATCCTTTCTTAAGAAGAAAAGGAGATTAAAATACGTTTGTGAAACACTGATGCCCCCGTATGACAACTATTGTCGAGGGTTGAAGTTTCTTGAATTCAAGTTAAACTCCAAGGTCAAGGTCAGAAGATCAATATTGTTGGTATTCAACGGAAGGTCATTCACAAGTGAAATACGAAAGCCCTAGTACTTACGTTTCAAAAGTTATAATTAAGTTTAATTTTTTTAAGTGGGCCAAACTCTACGGTCAAGGCCAAAGGTCAAATATTTTTATACCGTATCAAAGGTTTTGCCAGAAGGACTTAAGCAGTGAAATATAAAAGCCCTAATACTAACGGTTCAAAAGTTATGGCCAAGTTTTTTTTTTTAAAAATGGGCCAAACTCTAAGGTCAAAGGTCAAATATTTGAACACCTATGAAAGGTATTGCCAGAACGACTAAAGCTGTGAAATCTGTTAATCTGTTTTAATATCTTTTGACACAAATCAACTACAAACAAGAGGCCCAAGGTCATTGAATCGCTCTTCTGATAAATCGTACAATCAATCACTTCCATTTGAAGCTAGTCTCTAACTATAAGTATCCCAAGATGCATGAACTGACAAAGTTTGATGATTCTTACCCAGTTAGGGCTGAAGATATTTCAGTATAGCTATAAAATAACATAAGTAGGTAATGGTGACCTACTTTTTGATTTTGAATTTTCTGAGGACTCCAGATGCATTAATTGACAAAGATTGATGATTCTAAGCCAATGAGTACCCGAAATATTCAAAAGTAGGTCACTGTGACCTATTCTATGGTCAACATTCTCAAAAAAACCAAGATGTCTCAACTGACAAAGTTTAACAATTCTAGGCCAATAAGTACACGAGATATTTAAATATAGTCATAAAATTCTAAACTAGGCCGCTGTGACCTCCCTTTTGGTCGATGTTCTCCATAAACCCAAGCTAAAGCTGCATCAACTGACAAAGTTTGATGATTCTAAGCTAATTAGTACTTCAGATACTTAAATATAGCCATAAAATTTCAAAAGTAGGTCACCGTGACCTACTTTTTGGTTGACTTTTTTCAAAGACCCAATATGCATCAACTGACACAGTTTGATGATTCTAAGCCAATAAGTACCTGAGATAATTAAAAGTAGGTCATTGTGACCTAATTTTTGATCGACATTCTCCGAAACCCAAGATGCCTCAACTAACAAAGTTTTATAATTCTAGGCCAAGAAGTATACGGGATAATTAAATAAAGCCATACAATTCAAAACTAAGTCATCGTGACCTACTTTTAGGTCGACGTTCTCCGTAAACCCAAGATGCATCGACTGACAAAGTTTGATGATTCTAAGCCAATAAGTACCTAAGATATAGCAATAAAATGTCAAAAGTAGGTCACCGTGACCTACTTTTTGGTTGACAATTTCCGAAGACCCAAGATAAGTTTGATGATTCTAAGTCAGTAAGTACCTAGGATATTTAAATATAGCAATAAAATGTCAAAAGTAGGTCACTGTGACCTCCTTTTTGGTCGACATTTTTCGAAGACCCAAAACGCATCAACTGACAAAGCTTGATGATCATAGGTCTGAAAGTATTCAAAATATGTCTTTTAAACAATTTGAAAACAAATGCCCGCTAAATTCAAAAAGTAGATCACAGTGACCCACTGTTTCATAAATGTTTTAAGACCCCAAGATGCATCAACTTACAAGATTTGGTGATTCTGAACCTCTCATTGTCTGAAATAATTCAATTAAATGATTTAGAAAAGATTAGCCATAAAATTCAAAAAGTAGGTCATGGTGACATACTTTGAAAATGACGCGTTTCTAAGACCCAAGATACATGAACTGGCAAAGTTTGAGGATCAAAGGCCTTAAAGTGTCCAAAATATGCTTCAAAATCAATTTAAAAACGAAATCCCGTAAAATTTAAAAAGCGGGTCATCGTGACCTACTTTTATGTTAACATGATGTAAAGTTCTAAGATGCCTTAAGATTCGATGATCCTATTCTTTATAGTAAGCAAAATAACAACATTTTTATTATGTGTAAATTTTGTTCAATTTTGAATTAACCTTGAGACCACGCCCTTTGCCCCAGGTCATGCCTTGAACAATTTTTAATTTTCAACATATCTTGACCCTTGTATGTAAGTTTGGTGAAAAACTGCTTGGTGGTTTTAGAGAAGAAGGTTTTTTAGCAATCAGTACTTTTGGTTTTATTTTCCTGATTATCTCCCCTTGTTTTAGAGTCCCACTCATAGTTTTAGTATAAATGGTAGCCCTTAAGCCAAGGATACCCCATGACAAATTTGACAATGATTGGCCAAGGGGTTCTTGAGTTATGGCCGATATTCTAAAATGTTAACGCACACCGCACGACGCACACAGCACAAATTGCCATAACATTAGATCTTTGAGCCTTTGGCTCATAAGAGCTAAAATATATCAATCTTTGAAACCCGTATGTCGAAAAGTCATTTGATCATTTGTTTTTTGCTATACGCCAAAAAAGTCCAGTTTATTTTCTTATTTGACACTCTTTATTTCCATTTAATGTCCGTTTTTATTTTTAATTTTTAGCTCACCTGAGCCGAAGGCTGAAGTGAGCTTTTCTGATCAATATTGGTCCGTTGTCTGTCGTTGTCGTTGTAGTCGTTGTCTTCGTTGTCGTTGTCGTCGTCGTCGTAAACTTTTCACATTTTCATCTTCTTCTCAAGAACCACTGGGCCAATTTCAACCAAACTTGCCACAAAGTATTCTTGGGAAAAGGGGATTCAATTTTGTTCAAATGAAGGGCCACGCCCTTTTCCAAGGGGAGATAATCATGAATTAGAGAAAAATTAATGGCATTTTTTAAAAAATCTTCTTCTCAAGAACCACTGGGCCAGGAAAGATAAAACTTATGTGGAATTATCCTCAGGTAGTGTAGATTCAAGTTTGTTCAAATCATGACCCCCGGGGGTAGGGTGGGGCCAAAATGGCCGATCAAAGTTTTACATAGGAATATGTAGGAAAAATCTTTTTCTCAAGAACCACTGGACTAGGAAAGATGAAACTCCTGTGGAATCATCCTCAGGTGGTGTAGATTCAAGTTAGTTCAAATCATGACCCCTGGGGGTAGGGTGTGGCCAAAAATGCTGATCAAAATTTTACATAGGAATATTTAGAAAAAAATCTTCTCAAGAACCATATAGGAAAAATCTTTAAAATCTTCTTTTCAAGTACTTCAAAGCCATGCTTAGTGATATTTATAGGGAATCATCCTCAGGTAGTGTAGATTCTAGTTTGTTCAAATCATGACCCCCTGGGGGGTTAAAATTCAAGTCCTCTCCCCCCCTCAGTAAATTTTCAGTTCTGATCTGATATGTTCTTTTTCCTAGTCAATTGCTCAGGTGAGCGATGTGGCCCCTGGGCCTCTTGTTTATAGAGTTATTTTGCAATTTATTTTTTAAGCGCAAATTTGGCTTGAAGAATTGTAATTGCTAGCGAAAATGTGCAGAATTTGGAACAGTATTAAAATTTATATATTTGTGACATAATTGTGACGTAAACTTTTTTTCGTGTTGTCCATTTTAAAGCTTATTGTTGAGGTAACTCCCCCATCCTCACAATATCAAGGGTTTGTGATTTCGGATCTCCACACAAACATATATCAAGCAATTGTTTCTTTAAAAGTGTCGGATTCT